AGAGAGGATTCCCTGATTCCTCAGGGAGTTTTTCCCACCCAGGAAGGATTCCCCAATTCCTCGGGGAGTTTTTCCCACCCGGGGAGGATTCCCGGATTCCTCGGGGAGTTTTTCCCTCCCTGATTCCTGGGGGAGTTTTTCCCACCAGGAGAGGATTCCCTGATTCCTCAGAGATCCAAACTTACTCTTTTCGGGCAGCTCGAACATCAGGATGTCTGGAAAGGGGGAGGGCAGAGACACATTAATTAATATCGGATTTATTAATTGGTGATTAGTCAATAATTCGCAATAAATTTAATTAATAAAATGTACCTTATAAATAAAATGCATGGAATATGCCTTATAAATATACCTTATAAATGTAAATGTACCTTATAAATAAAATCGCAATAAAATAAAATTGCAATAAAATGCAATAAATTAAATAAAATATACCTTATAAATAAAATATATATAATAAACCCTATAAATATACCTTATAAATATGAATATACCTTATAAATAAAATCACAATAAAATTAAATCACAATAAAATGCAACAAATAAAATAAATAAAATATACCTTATAAATAAAATATATATAATAAACCTTATAAATATAAATATAAATATACTTTATAAATATAAATATACCTTATAAATAAAATTACAATAAAATGCACCCTAAGTAAATAAACATAATTTAAGGCCACACCCCCCTATAACAAACGTAATAAACACATAAAATTCAATCTAATGAATATAAAAATAAACTATAATCACCACGATACCTTGGAAGCTCCTCAGGGTCTCCTCCAGGACCAGGTTTTTCTCCCTGAATTTGCCGATTTTCTTTTCCAGCCCCGGAAGAGGCGACGGGGGCAGCTGGAAATGTTCGTTTTGGAGCCTTTGGGAAGGAGGGAAGGAGGAATTTTAGGGAGCCCGAGGAACCCCCTGACCCCAAACCCGAATATTTTGGCCTCCGAGGCAGGAGAAACACGAGATCCAAGCCCCAAATCCCAGCCTGGAAAAGTCGGGAATTCCCATCCGTGCCTGCTCAGGGTGCTGCCGATGTCCTGGAAAGGGAGAGAGGGAAGAGGGAATTCAGGGAATGGGGCTTGGAATCAGGGAAAGGTTAAAATGGGAGATTCCCGAGGCTGTGGGAGGGATTCAGGGAAACATTAAAATGGGAGGAGAGAGAGGGAAGAGGGAATTCAGGGAGAGGGTTTTGGAATCAGGGAAAGGTTAAAATTGGAGATTCCCGAGGCCACGGGATGGATTCAGGGAAAACTGGAGATTCCCAAGTCCATGGGGTGGATTCCCAGCTCCATCCCCTTCCCCCCTCACCCTCAGGAAGGTCCTGGTGGGTTCCCGGCTCTTCTCCTCCAGCTCCTGGATGCGGTTTTCCAGCCGGGAAATCTCCTGGGTCAGGCTCGTCAGGTTTTCCTCCTGCTCCTTTTCCAGCTCCTTTTCCAGGTCCCGGAGCCGGGCCAGGAGCCCCCGGGCGTGATCCTCCAGGGACACCCGGAGCCCTTGGAAGTGGGAGAGGATCCTCTGCCGCTCGGATTCCGTCTTTTCCTGCGGGAACGGGGGCGGGATTTGGCATCCAGGAGGGATCCCAAGCCCAGGGATGAGACCCCCCCAAAATCCAACAGGAGACACCCACCCCCCACATTCCCAAACAGCGAGATCCCGGATTTCCTGAGGAAGCAAATCCCGAAATTCCCAAGCAGCGAGATCCCGAATTTCCCGGGGAAGCAAATCCCAAAATTCCCAAGGAAACAAATCCCGAAATTCCCAAGCAGTGAGACCCCGAATTTCCCAAGGAAACAAATCCCAAAATTCCCAAGCAGTGAGATCCCGAATTTCCCAAGGAATCAAATCCCAAAATTCCCAAGCAGTGAGACCCTGAATTTCCCGAGGAATCAAATCCTGAAATTCCCAAGCAGCAAGATCCCGAATTTCCCAAGGAATCAAATCCCAAAATTCTCAAGCAGCGAGACCCCGAATTTCCCAAGGAATCAAATCCCGAAATTCCCAAGCAGTGAGATCCCGAATTTCCCAAGGAATCAAATCCCGAAGTTCTCAAGTAGCGAGACCCCGAATTTCCCATGGAATCAAATCCTGAAATTCCCAAGGAATCAAATCCTGACCACTCCTCCCCTCGGAAGATTTACCAAACACTCCCAGTTCCTCCTCATTTCAGCCTCCCGGAATTCCAGGAGTTTGTCCCTGTCTTCCCTCAGGGTTTGCAGCCGGGCCTGGAGTTGTGCCTGAGGGAGGAGAGAAAAGAAGGAAAGGCCCCGTTTCTCTGGAAATTTGGGACAATCCCCCCCCAAAAAAAAACCACCCTGGGGAGGGGGTTCCGCTCCAGGAATTCTGGGCCAGGAAAACATTTCCTGTTTTTTTTGGTTGCCCACATTCCCGCTGGTTTAGGGGGGATCAGGAGTCCAAACGTGGATTAGGAATCCAACCAGGGATGGACCGGAGAACAACCAGGAATGGATCAGGAGAACAACCATGGATCAGGAGTCCAACCATGGATCAGGAGTCCAACCACGGATGGATCAGGAATCCAAACCATGGATGGATCAGAAGTCCAACCAGGGATGGACCAGGAGTCCAACCAGGGATCAGGAGTCCAACAGGGATGGATCAGGACCCCAACCAGGGATCAGGAATCCAACCAGGAATGGATCAGGAGAACAATCAGGGATCAGGAATCCAACCATGGATCAGGAGTCCAACCATGGATCAGGAGTCCAACCAGGGATGGATCAGGAGCCCAACCAGGGATCAGGAATCCAACCATGGATGGATCAGGAGCCCAACCATGGATCAGGAATCCAAACAGGATGGATCAGGAGCCCAACAGGGATGGATCAGGAGTCCAACCATGGATCAGGAGTCCCACCACGGCCAAACCCCCCGTGCCAACCCTACAAAGGGAGGGAGGGCAACCACCCCCCTCCACCCCCCAACCCACCAAAGGAGCACCTCTGGGGGGTCATTCCCACCCCGGACCAAGTCCAGGGAATCCCCAAAACCCCCCTTTTCCCTCCCCTTACCTCATACTCCCCCCGAGCCTCCCCCAGGGGCACCAGGGTATGGGCACGATGGGCACGGGACTCTCGGCAGACCCCGCACAGGGGGGGACAACCACCCCCCTCCACCCCCAAACCCACCAAAGGAGCACCTCTGGGGGGTCATTCCCACCCCGGACCAAGTCCAGGGAATCCCCCAACCCCCCCCCCTTCCCCCCCTTACCTCGTACTCCCCCCGAGCGTCCCCCAGGGGCACCAAGGTGTGGGCACGGTGGGCACGGGACTCTCTGCAGACCCCGCACAGCGCGGCTCCATCCTCCTTGCAGAACACCCTGAGCGGCTCCCGGTGCTTCCTACAACCTTCCTCTTCCTCCTCCTCCTCCCCTTCCCCGCCCAGGCCGAGCCTGCGGGCGATGTCGAGGACCTTGGCGAGCTCCCGGCTGGGGCGGAGGCTCCGTTCCGGCGCCGTCTCCCGGCACCGTGGGCAGGGGAAGGTGTCGGTGGCCCACTCCCAGCAGCGCTCGATGCAGCCCCGGCAGAAGTTGTGGCCGCAGTGGATGGACACGGGGTCACGGAACAGCTCCAGGCACACGGGGCAGGAGGCCTCGGGGGGCAAATGGGACATTGGGGACCCCCGGGAATGGGGAGAGGCTTTCATTTGGGTGCTCACAGGGCGAGGGGAGGCGTCCCTTGGGTGTCACCTCCCTCCTGTCACCGCTTTTTGTCGCGCCCCCCCCGTGCTGTCACCAGCTTCCTGTCACCCCCCCTCCTGTCACCCCCCTCCTGTCACACCTCCCTGTGACCAATTCCTGTCACCCCCTCCTGTCACCCCTTCCTTTCACCCCCTCCTGTCACCCCGTCCTCTGATCCTCTTCTTGTCACCCCCTCCTGTCATCCCTTCCTGTCACCCCTCCTGTCACCCCCCTCCTGTCACCCCCTCCTGTCACCCCCTCTCTGTCACCCCCTCCTGTCACCCCTCCTGTCACCCCCCTTCTGTCACCAATTCCTGTCACCCCTTCCTATCACCCCTCCTGTCACCCCTTCCTCTGATCCCCTTCTTGTCACCCCCTTCCTGTCACCCCTCCTGTCACCCGACCCTAAATCTCCCTCTCGACCCCGCGCCCGGCGACAATTCCCGGTGATTAACGCGCCCTTAATTAACGGCTCATTTACAGGGGCGCCGTGGTCACCCCGGCGCCGCTCCCCGCACCTCTCACCCCTCAAGAAATCGACTTTTTTTTTCCACATGAACCCAAAATAAAGTTGTTTTTCGAAACTTTCGAGCCCGAAAGTTTCGCTCTGAGTGTCCCGAGCCCGGCGGGGGAAAATTCGAGGTGAGAATTTTTGCCACCCCGACCCCCTTCCCGCGCCAAAAGGAGAAGTGAAAGGACCCGTAAAAAAAGGATTTGCGAGTAAAAGGATTCGTAAGTAAAAGGTTTGACCCCGATGGATCCCAGGATGTGACCCTGATGGATCCCAGATCCCAGGAGATGATCCTGGTGGATCTCAGCTCCCAGAATTTAACCCTGATGGATCCCAGGTCCCAGGATCTGACCCCGATGTCCCCCAGGGTTTTGACCCCGATGGACCCCAGGCTGTGACCCCGATGGATCCCAGCTCCCAGGAGACGATCCCGGCGGCCCCGGGCGCCAACAGATCCTTCTGACCGACCCCATTATTCCCAATTTCCCGTTATTTCGAGTCCTTCCTCCTCTCCATCCCCTCACCCCCCACCGGAGCAGAAAAATCTCTCGGATCGGGATCATCCCAAACTTCTTGTTCTCGTTGACAGAAACCACGGGGAAAGGGGAATTTTTCCACCCCAAAATCCCCCTCGGTGGGTGAGGCAGGAGCGGGGGGGGTCACAGGGACAGGGGGGGTCACGGGCACAGCTTGACCCGTCCCCCCCCGCCCAGGAAGAGCAGAAAATCTCTCGGATCGGGATCATCCCAAACTTGTTCTTCCCGTTGACAGAAACGCCGGGAAAAGGGGAATTTTGGGGCGAGGCGGGAGCGGGGGGGTCACAGGGACAGGGGGGGTCACGGGCACAGCGTGAACTCCCCCCCCCTGCCCAGGCAGAGCAGGGGCAGGACCCTCTCCCCCCCGAAGCTCGTCGGGGGATACGCGAACAGCGGCTCCTCCTCCTCCTCCTCCTCCCTCCCACCATCGAAAAAGGCCACCCGCCCCCCCTCGTAGTCCAGGAAGACCCCCACCACCCTGGGGGGGTCCCGCAGGGCCAGGGGCACGGCGGGCGAGGCCAGGGCTTGGCAGCGGCTCCCGCAGTGCCCCACGGCCCAAATCCCGCCCCGGGGCTCGACGCGGACCCGACCCTTCCTGGGCACGGATTCCTTGGCCACCCCCAGGGCCCAGGCGGCCCCCCCGGCCCCCACCAGCACCCGCCAGTAGTGGCGGCCCGAGGTGAAGCCCTGCAGGGTCAGGACGCAGCGGGACGAGTCGAAGCGTTTGGGGTGGTCGGGGAGGGGCCGCCGGGTCCCCCCGAGGCAGCGGACGCGCTTCCCGTCCCCCGACAGCTCCAGCCGGGGGTGAGCCGTGTCCGGGTCCAGCGTCAGGGTGGCTGGGAGAAGGAGGGAGGGGGTTAAAGGGGGTTTTGGGGGGTTGTGGGGGTGGATGGAGCCGGGATGGGGGATGCAGGGGGGGTTGGATGGGGCGGGAGAGGGTTGGGAGGGTGGGGAAGGTGAGGGATGGGAGGGAAGGCAAGGGAGGGAGAGGAGGGAAGACGAGGGAGAGGAGGGAAGACGAGGGAGAG